TCATGTTATCAAAGACCTCATATTAAACATGTCACATGTTGTCGTTCATGTTATCAAAGACCTCACGCTAAACATGTCACATGTTGTCGTTCATGTTAAAGACCTCAGGTTAAACATGTCACATGTTGTTGTTCATGTTAAAGACCTCAGGTTAAACATGTCACATGTTGTCGTTCATGTTATCAAAGATCTCAGGTTAAACATGTCGACTGTTGTCTTTCAAGTCATCATAGATCACAAATCAAATATGTCACCTGTCCTTTTTCATGTCATCAATGACCTCAGGTTAATTATCTCACCCATTGTCTTTTACAGTATGTCATTAAAGGCCTCACATTAAACATGTCACATGTTGTAGTTCATGTCATCAGTGACCTCAGGTTAATCATCTCACCCATTGTCTTTTATGTCATTAAAGACCTCGGGTTAAACATGTCACCTGATTAAAAATATCACCTGCTGTCTTTCATGCCATCAAATTCCTTAGGTTAAATATGTCACCTGCTGACTTTCATGTCATAAAGACATCAAGTTAAACATGTCACCTTTTGTCTTTCAAGTCATCAATGACCTCAGGTTAATCATGTCACTTGTTGTCATGTTGTCAAAGGCCTCAGGATAAACATGTCACCTGTTGTCTTTCATGTCATCAAATACAACAAATTAAACATGTTACCTGTTGTCGTTCATGTCATAAAAGGCCTTTAAACATGTCATTTTTTTGTCTTTTATGTCATAAACAGCCTTAGGTAAGCATGTCAACTGCTGTCTTTCATCTCATCAAAGGTGTCATGTTAAACATGACACTTGGTATTTTTATTTCATAGTTCCAGTCTAAGAACATGTTAGGACAGTACAGAGCTCTAACTGTTTTAGTTAGAAACAATCTCATGTGATATTTTGAGATGTGCTTTGAATATGTGTAATGATTGACTGTTAGCTACTACTACACCAAATTTATTGTAATAACTCTAAAACTAAATGAGAYATAAGCATTTTTGTCTGTTGCTGTCTTGATTTGGTTTGACACCAAATGTTAATCAGTTATAGATGCACATCCATCTAAGAGTTTCGATAAAATCTATGTAGTGGTCATTTTGCTAACAGACAATCAAGATGGATTCCAAATGGTAATGCTAATTTTTTTTTTATCTTGCCTAATCAGTAGGACTGTTGTGAACTGACCTCTGCTGCTACCACACAAAGTCTTACATTAATACTTGTAAAATTGACAGGATTATAGTCATTTTTGTGTTTATGAAGGTGAACTGGCGGTGTCCCCCAAATTCTTCTCAGTTTTAAATTTTGACAGAATCTTCCTGTGCTTGGCTCAACAGAAGGTTCTGGTGAGCTGCTTCTTCTAATCTCAGTAATCTGTGGGATACAGTTTACAGCAGACTGCTCAGTTCTCCGCAAATTAAACCTACATTGGCTTTTTCTGACTTTCTTGAAAGAATGCATCACCTTCCATGTTACAATGATTTACTGGCCTTAAAACAAGAATAAGGTCTGTTTACAGTCCATCTTTGTTTAATTCTTTGTTTCAAGCGGTGCTAAGTCTTTAATATCATGGTAAAGGCTTTATCAAGTCAGGATAAATGAGGAAAGCCCAGCGTTGTGGTAAACCCCTCAGGTATGTGCTTCAGCCTCTGACAAAGACTTGAACAGCCTGTGTCTGCTGTCCCCACTTCATTTTTGTATCACAAAAACTCACCACGTCAAGTTTGATAACGTCTACATCTGGAAGGTCTACATCCCAGATCCTTGAATCTGCATGAACCCAGGTAGAGACCGTACTCGTTCACTCCTCCTGACCTCTCACCTTGTCCAGGTTGTTGTAGAAGTCCACATTCCCTGCGCACAGGTACCTTCCCAGCAGGGTGGCGTGCGTTGTGAAGACTGTTGCCATGGGAATCTTGCGAGAGCGAGACAAAATGAGCCCAGGACCTGCCTGCCACTCATGGAAGTGACCAATGACATTGGGCTTGTCTCCAAGGTGGTCCGTTAGCTGAAAAACAAAAATCAAATATGGAATTAGACTCTGAAGGTGCAGCGTTAAATTTGTTCCAGGTGTTTGTGAATACAGGTGATAACAGGACACTAAACTTTTACAACAACAGGACTTGTATGACAAGGACTTGACTTCAGTGGTCTGAGTCTGACCTCTTTAAAGAACCATGCAATCAGGGAGCCCAGGATAAGTGAGTCGTTGGCCTCTCTGTCGTGGTATGGCAGGCCAATGTGGCAGGTCTCCCACAGGTCGCCCTTCCAGCGGTCCAGGTTCCAGGCAGCTGAGCCAATGTCAAAAAGGACCACGTAAGGACTGCCCTCAATCAGCCAGCGGCCGAAATGAACCTGTACCAGTAGCAGCGTTCAGAAAACCCAGAGAGAAAGTACACAACCACATTAAAATACTGCAAAACACACATGATTTACAAAGCAACAAGTAGAGTCCATCAGTGTGTGAATGGGTGAATGACTGTAGTGTAAGGCACTTTTGGAGTGTGTAGGGACTTGATAAAGCCCCATTCAAGTTCAGATCATTTACCAAAAATATGATGAGTCATGGTGTACTTTCAAAGACAACTCTAATATCTTAGAGCAGGGTTTCCCAAACTTTTCAGCTTTAGGTCAAAATCATAAATATGTTTCCTGAACCCTTGTGCTGTTCCAACCCCAAACTCTGGTAACCACTGAGAATGAAGACTCCCGAACAAACACATCAACATTATATGAAAGTACAAACTTTAAATAGAAATGATCATAAGTTTCTATCGACTGTAAAAGTTAGTGTCAGAAGATAATGAGATCATCAGGGTGTGGACTCCATCTAGTGGCCAGACTGCCTGCATCAGTTCAAGCACAATAAAATGACTTCATCTGCCTCTCTCTTCATGTGTTCACCCCTCTATACATGGASACCACAGGTGGTCAGAGTTATTTTCATTCAATTCAGTTAAATCTAATAAAAATCAGTTCAGGTTAGTTTACTTCATATCAGTGCAACTTTGTTGCGTTGAAATCTGTTAATTTGAATTATAATATTTCATATTAATTTGATTTTGTTCACTTCAGTGCAGTTTAAATCAGTATGAATCATTCAGTTTAGGGTAATTCAGTCCATCCATCCATCCATCCATCCATCCATCCATCCATCCATCCATCCATCCATCCATCCATCCATCATCTTCCTTTTCTTCCACTCGGGGGCAGCAGCTTGAACAGAGAGGTCTTCTGGGAAGATTCCAAGGCGTTCCCAGGCCAGATGAGAGACCCGTTTACACAGAGCTGGTATTCAGTGAAACYGCAACATTYTTGTTGCGATCCAGCTGCTCGTTTATACGTCACTGGTGAGCGGCGTCTGACCGACAGTGTTCTGACGTTGCATTTTCAGGTCAGCACGGTAAGGTTAGAACCTTAACCTGAAGTGTTGATTCCATGAATCCTGAGTAATGGAAAAGGMATGGAACCGTGCTGATCCATGCCGAGTCGTGCTGAGGACAAACGAATGGAAAAGGCCTACCTACCAGCASTTTTTGAAGCCAGGTCTCACAGYGGAACTTTTCTGTAACACCYCACATGGAGGTGACAAGGGCCCAGTCCCAAGACTCGCACTTCCACCCTTGTGTACTTCAAATGTGCATTCTGGTGGAGGGGTTTGAGTGCCTAGTGCAGGGGTCACTAATAGGCAAACCTGGGTCTGGACCAGAATGGTGTCTCATTCGGATTCATACCTAATGGCAAAACAGAGATCACCACTTAGCGCATGTAATGCTGTGTTCAGACCTAACAAGATTTGAGTGTCGGGGCTTTGGGTTTACATGCAAAGTCTATGGTGGATGCGTCAAGGGGCATTGGGAAGTGTTGGGAGATATGGGCATCGATGGGGGTCAGCAACTCGTCAAACTGGGTTCAGGACCAATAAAGTGCTGAATGTGACACTCAACGGCACGCAGCTCCTGGAGTGATGAAACTCACCAAACTCASAACTCCTCTGAATTATCTGGTGAATTCAAGMCACCMAATGACAACGTRCTCTGGCTCTCAGTAAATAAAGCCATGCCACTCTCTCAGTKTCATCTGCCATTGTACAGAGACCAATAAAGAAGGCTCCTCTCAATGCATGTCTTGATGCATGACTAGAGCGATTTTGATGAGCGTCTGACCTCAAAGTGCACAAGTGTGGGAGAGAAACTGGAGAGTTAACAGACACAAATACAAAAAACAAATAGTGGTATCAAAAATATTTTWAAAAAATGGACAGCAAAAATAGAGCATTTCATCCAGGATGGACAGTCATTTTTTGTTTTACTCTCATGTTCAGAAATGTGACACTTATTAAAAGTGGGAATTCTAATGCCATTATGAAACAAAGTATAAAGGTTTTGAAYAAAGTTTTGAACAAATGTACCAAATCAACACACACAGTTGTCACGTATTGTTTAGTTTCTTATTTTGGCATGTTCATCAYCATATTTTTACTCAGTAGGAGAACATAAAAAATCAGACTTTAGAATTTCACGTTCATCTTTTTGTTACGCGACGATAAATATTTAAAAGTATTTGAATTAGACTGAATTAATTTAATTCTATACGCAAATCAATTTGTGCAGATGTTGATACAACTACTAAGCTAATGA